GTAAAGTTAACATCCCCAGGAATGATAACACTGATATATGCTCTTAATGTAATGTACTGAGAAGGCCACAGTATTACTTATATGATAGTATTCCTGCCCAAAATGCATAATTTGTATCTGGTTATGAGAAAAAAATAGACACATCCAAACACATGGCTTCTTCTCAAATTTATTAGTGTCATGAAAGACAAAGAAAAGCTGAGGAACCATTCTGCATTAAAAGAGTCCAGAGAGACAAGAAAAGTTAAATGCATTGCATGGTTCAGGATTGGCTTGTCAACCCAAAAATCAAATGCTAAATAAGAACATTATGGGGACAGTTGGAGAAATTTGAATAATATCTGTCGATTCAGTGAAATTTTACATCAGTGTTATATTTTCTGATACTGAAAATTACACTGTATTATATCAATGAAATTTTTTTTGTGTGAAAAACTGAAATATTTAGGGATGAAGGGTTGTGATGTCTGGAAATTATTCTCAAATTATATATATATGCATATATACACACACATATATATATATGAATTTTGTATCTGTAAGGTTCATATATATGTGGAGAGAGTGTCAAAATGTTAATAAGGTAGACAATACAATTAGATTTTATTGTACATATTTGGTTCAGGGAGATTCATGTCAGAAATATACTTATTATTATTGTAGATTATTCTACCTTAATCTAAAAATTCTCTATAGTACTTACAGATCATCAGTATTTGGAGAACACCCCACTATGTGCTATTTTGAAACAAAAAGCTCCTCAACGATACCGTATCCGAGCAAAATTGAGGTCATATAAGCCCAGAAGACTTTTCCAGTCTGTTAAACTTCATTGTCCTAAATGTAATTCACTGTAAGTATTTTCCACAGTAAAACAAGTTCTCACTTCATAATAAATGTGTATATATGTTTTCATATATATCAGTTTAAGTCCTGGCAATGAGTAAATTTTGATCTTACGTATTTTGAGAGAATGGTAACGTTTTTAAGAAAAAATACTAAATTCTTAGAAAGTAAATCCTTCTGATATTTCTTAGTAATAATAAATAAAAGTAGGTGCTATTTTCAGATCTGAAATTCAATTAAGTAGCACTGATAAATGCAAATAAATAATAAACTATGAAATTATTTGGGGAGACTCTCATTTGTCACAAAAAGTATTCTTAAAAATAAAACATTATTAACTAAAATTCTCAAATTGGGAAGACTTCTGGATAGTTGAAATTTTTAATTAAGTGATAAAGAAAGCGTTGTTGGAAATATTTCTGTCCTACTTAATAACTACAATATAGTAAGTATACTTTAAATTTTTGTTAATAATTGAGAATTTCTTAGTACTTTTTTTTATGTAATTTGACCGTCTTTCCTCTAAATACATAATACGTGTGTATATCCATTATATTTGTGTGTTTATATATTGTTTGTGTTTATGCTTCTGTGTATACCAATACACACATATTCCCCTCCAAAATAATATATTCTTTGTGCAGATTTTTAATCATCAGATCTCCTTAAAATGGAGGACTATCTTCTATCCCTTTGAGCTTGAAATGGTAGTTGGAATTAAAATATAAATACAGATTTTAGATAATTCTTGAAATATTATCAAATTGCATTTTGACAGATTCTGTAAAATTATATAACTTTGTGAAACAAAACCATTTGATCTATGATCATTTTTTAAACAAGGAAATTACTTCAGAAAGATTAAGAGGTATCACCTATAGTTACACAGGTTGATGACAGAACCAGGACAAGGACATAAACCTTTTGATTCCAGATTGTGCCATTTCTACTCTATCATACTTTACCATATGACTTTTTAAAATGATGCTAGATTAAAAGGAATTGAAAGGAATATTGGTTTGTAAAGTAGGTAAAAGTGAGATTACTTAAGTGATAAATGGGTATGTAACTGGAATAAAGACAGGGGACAGCTGCATTGTCTTTTCCCAGTGAGAAGTTTAGCATGCTTTACAGAGGAGAACAAATTGGTGCTAGAAATAATTATAAGTAACCTTGGTATCACAAAACCAGGCAAGAAAATTGCTGGTGGTTAATGTAATTATGATATGGATCTACTTAGCCATGAAATATCAGATATCTCTCTATTGAACGAGTCATTTAATCTGCAAAGTGAATTATCTTTATATTTTAAAATAAGTAGCTGGCTCATCAGCATATGAACATTTTTTTTAATTGGATAATTTGTAAAATTTGAATTTTGAAGCTCATGACAATTGTTTTGTGTTATTTTGTTGTCAATGATTTTAGGCAAGAAGTTCCACATGAGGATGATTTGGATATAATTTTGCAAGAGGGTGCAACTAAAATCCCAGATATCAAACTACAAAATACACCATTATATGATTCAAAAGTCTGGACCACTAAAGATCAAGGAGGACGAAAAGTAGCAATTCATTTTGTGAAAAATGATGGTATTCTCCCACTTTCAAATGACTGTCTAATTTTGATAGAAGGTAAGATATTTAAGTTACTATTTTATTAGATTATAGCTTTTGCTTATGTCTTTCTCTAAGTATTGTTAAATATATTTTAGAGGCAACCTAGGACATATAAAATCACAATATTGTTAATTTAAATTTCATAAAATGGAATGTGTTATTAATAACAGTTAGATTCAAACATATACACAGATGCATATATAAATTTATCTGAATGACATTTGAAATTATACATTAAACTCAAGTGTTTGTATTTGTTCATTTGTTCATTCCTGCATATAATTTTAAACAAATCCAAGCTGATTACTGAGCTGAGTAATAATTAAGAGGCTGCTTGTTATGTACAATTGCTGTTATCTTTGCCTCTGGATGTCACTGTTGTTTTATAAAAGTAGAATGTAGTCATCTGTTGCTATCTAAATCAAAGAAGGGACCCCTGAAACAAGTAAAAATAACGTGACATGTTTTAAAAATTGAAATTTTGAGTCATATTTTTTTTTGTATTGCTCTTCCATTTTGGTCTTATTTTTATCTAGTATTTGTCTAATATATATACCACATATTTTCCCATGCCAAATTTAATGTTTCATTATTTTCCTGGAGACTTTTCTTCCTTAACATTTCTTAATAAAAGGAAGACATCTTTAATTTGCATTATAGAAATCTTTAGTTTCATTTTATAAATGAGTTATCTTTATTACAATAGATTATGATCATTTTTATTGCTGAAGTTTTTCTACTTGTGAAAGTAATATGTAATTCTTTTAGAAAATATATAAAAATATACATGTATATAAATATTGGTATTGTTTTTATGAACATCTCATTTTAATCTTTATAGTGTACCGGAAATTAATTAATTTCTGTGTGTTAATTCATTTAATCATCACTACAGTCCTATGTAGTTGGTACTATTATAAGCTGTTTTTATGCATGAGAAAACTGAACCACAGAGAAGTTAAATGTTTTTGTTTTTTGACATAGTAACTCTTCCATGAACTTTACCTCCCCCCTTGTCGAATTGTAATTGTGGGGCACAAATAATTAAGTAAATGTTGCCCAATTTGTAGTAAAGTTATCCTAGTCTGCATATGCTTTAGCAGCATATGAGATTATCTGTTCCTCTACCCTCATCATCATATACTAGCATTGTAAAACACATGGCTACTTTGATGAGTAAGATGTGATATCTTATTCCATTAGCAATATTTTAATCTGTACCAGGAGATAGATGTAAAAACAAAAACACACAGACATAGATACATACATACAAAAAAATGGAGCAAAAGTATTTGTAGGGTGTAAAAATAAAGCTGTAATCCTATGAGGTTCTTTAAGAATTGTCCTTGTAGGGCCACCTAAGAGGATAGCTTGAAGGCCTTAGAGTCCTCTTATCCTGTTCTGCCTCCCACAGATTTCTGTATTGAAGCTGAGTTGGCCTTGAGAGTCCAAAGAAAGCTTGAATAAAGAAGTCTCTTTAAGCTCCCAATCCTATCTTTAATTACCACTCATTGCAACAACTTTCAGTCTCATCTGTGGTGCCTCAATTCCCATGCTAATCTCCAGCCATATTGAACTGATGGCAATTCCTAAACCCAGTATATTTCTCAATTTTTTTTTTACCATTCCATTGCTATTCTCCTGAGAATTGCTACTCTAGCACATCTTCAGAAATAAACTCAGTAATTCAGCAATTCATGTGGAATAGTTAATGAACACCTACATGTACTAAGCACTTTTTCTGATTCACCGGGAAGATTTGAGTGGTTCTTGTTGCATATTGTATGCACTTCCAATGGAGCACTTTTTTTCTTGTGTTGTATTTGTGTTATATCTGTTTGTTTACAGATTTGTTTCCTTACTAGAATATAAGCTCCCTAAGGACAGGATACATGTTCATTTTAATCTATGTATCTTCACCTATAGTAGTACACCTAGCATGAAACTGGCTCTTAGTAAATATTATTGAATAAATAAGTACATCTGAACACTTTACCTTACAGAGCTTTTTAATGAAAGTCAAATGAAAGTGTATGTGAAAGCACTTTAAAATTTAAAAGGGTTTTATAAAATGTAATATTTTATTTTATGATATTTCTGAATATTATAACCCTAACCAGAGGCTAGGGCCTAACTGCAATATGACATGGCAGAACTATGGTTTCCAGCTATCAAAGAGCTGCAGAGGAGGATAAAAGCCGAGTAACTTAAAACACCGCCAAGCTTGCTTTTCTTACCAAAATTTTTCCTTTTTTTTTGGATCATTGCAAGCCTTTGGTTAATTTCTAGAGTTCTGAAAAAGTTGAATTTGACGGTTTTTGCTAATGTTCTTTTTGCTTTTATGGAGAAGTGTATTTTTGGACATCCTTAATCTGCTGTGCCAGAAATACTTTCCTTCACAATTGAATTTTAGCATTACAAGTTTTATGCAAATTTTAGGAAATACACAGAAGTATTTTTATAAATCATATTCTCTTTCACTGGAGAGGAAGAATTATCAATTAAGTAAAAAATACACCAGAAAATTTACCAGTAGTTTTGAGTTATCATAGATAATGCTGGCTTTTAATAATGGTGCAACACTGGATGTGCTATTTCTTCTTAAACCAACATGATGGTTTTAATGCCCAGCCCATCATAGAATTGGGGTAATGGTTTTCCCAGGAAAAAATTAACAAACACTATACACGAATTTATATTACATGAACTGTTTGCATCTGTATTTAAATTTAATGTTGATCTGAAAGTTTAAAAGATTTATTTCAAATTCAGAAGTAAACTTGCCTAGACATTTAGTATTAAATAGCAGATTTAATAATGAGAATCCTGTCATACTTTAGCTCTCAACTTTATTACCTTTTGATTCTTTGAACCAAAGTGAACCTGGCATAAAGAGCAATTTATAAATTTAAGAAAATGATTTAAATTTCACAAGCCTTATATTTTACTCAAGTCTCAGCATTTTTGTGCAGTAGTTTATTTAATCACTGTGTAGGATCCTAAACAAACCATTATTTTTCACAGTAAACATATAAATGTATTAAATCTCTAAATTCATTGTTTTCATTCTCTTTTCCTGTCAATCCCTTTAGTCTTTTACTATATCTCATGTGTTACTTAATAGGTACTTCATTCTGCCTACCTTATATTTATACTACTTGAAAGGTTTATTTATTCTCTTTTAATAGGAGGTACACTCAGTGAAATCTGTAAACTTGCAAACAAGTTTCACAGTGTAATTCCTGTGAGATCTGGCCATAACGACCTAGAACTTCTTGACCTTTCAGCACCATTTCTTATACAAGGAAAAACACATCACTATGGGTATGTTTTCATTTCTGGGGATTTGGGTAATTAAAAATTGTTTAAGAATAATTTATACTTTTATTAGTTTATCCCAAGTACTTACTGAGTACCAGTTTATATGTACTATATTTTTCGTATATATTTATTCTTTTGATAGCATGTCTATTGAGTGCTTACCCTGTGCTAGGTATAAGACTACCCCAGAGGCTAATTATCATTTATTTTCTTTCACAAGGATTTAGATACTGCTTACAGAGAAAGGTTCAGATCTGCATCCTAATAAAAGTTAAGTGATTGAATTCCAGAATTCCTGTGCCACAAAGTTACAAATTAGTTCCTCCTGAGAAACTGGAAGATAAGAGTACATTAGGAGCTAGAAACAGATTTTTAGGTTTGGAAGGAGGCAGTGGGGATAAAATCTCCTTTGCCTCTGCTTGATGAAACAGTCACCTTGGAAATATTCCGCTCAGAGACACCTTGGATTATAGAATACATCTTGTCATACCATTCCTCTCCCTTTTTTGCTCCTCACTTTGTAGCAATTGTTACTCATTGTTATAATGTATAAATCTTGATTTCATTTGAAAATTATATACTGCAATCATAGTATCTCTATGATTGTGACCACTGAAGTCATTGGTAGGTATGTATATGAGTTTTCTTCCATATACAAAACATCATAGAACTTCAGCTATAAGTTGGGACTAATGTGTCACTGAGCTAAACTCCTGGGTTATAGCTACTTTTACTCTGATGTGCCATGTCTTAATTATCTCTCATTGGACTCATGAACTCAGAGTCAACTTCATTAAGGTTTATCCAGCAATTATTAGTTCAAAAATAAGAGTCTATCTAATTATGTTTGTTTCTTTTTAATAAGTCACTTACATGGGCCTTTTCTTTTTCACATGTCCGTCCTCACTCACTTGCTCTGTCTTTCCTCTCCCTCTCTTCTATCTTGTCTTCCTAGTATCAGTCACCTTGACCAGTCTAGAACCAGGAAAGCAAATATTAGCTATAAGCTTTAGGAATATCCTTCACTTACTAGAAGTCTAAAAAATGTTTTGTTAAGACTTTCAACTTTTCTCCCATTTCAGCATAAAGCAAGAAATTCTGTTCATATTCAAGATCTTAAGACGTTTTTAGAATTTCCATTACTTTAACTGTCATTAGTAATAGCCAACATATCTTCTTATTGACTCTTCTTTTTAATTATGAAAAATAATTTTAACTACAGAAAAATATCAAAAATTACATCAGAAACATATATACTTCCGCTTTACATTCAACCAATGTTAACATCTTAACATATTTTTCAAGACTTTGTTTTTTAAAAATAAAATTATACAGAATAGAAGAAACATTATAGCAGTCCCCTCCTTCCTTTCCTTCTTGGAAGTAACTACTTCCTCAAACTTGGAGTCACTTCTTCTCATCAGTGTTTTTATGCTCTTAGTATAACATATGTATGAACTTTTAAGGAGTATAGCATATTATTTTGTATTTTTAAAATTCGTGTAAACTTGTACCATACCTATCCTTTTGCAACTTACTTTTTCCAATTCAGTATTATTTTCAAGATATATCATATTGATGGATGTAGATTATTTTAATGTCTGTATAGTATTTTGTATCATGAAATTTATTATGGTTTATTAATTTTCCTATATATGGATATCTATTATTTTTATTTATTGCATTTATAGACAGTGCTAAATGAAATCCTTTTATATATGTTCTTGCATATTTTCGTTGTCATAATATCAGTTCACTGTATCATACTCAGCATTTTTTTAATGATATGATGTGTGATGGTATGTTGTAGTATGGTATAAAAAGGAATGAATCAGAATGGATGACAGACCTTTTCACCAAGGGTCAATATTATTTCCTATACTTTTGTTTCAGCTGTGCTTGTGTGTTGTAGTCTGGGTCATTTCTTACAGTGAGTTCTTACCTGGAAATTTGAAAGGTACTACTGTAAGGTGTTTATAATTAGTGGAATGCATATTTTCTGCTTTATTGGAAAATACCAAATTGTTCTTCTAATGATTGTAACCTTTCATGGTATCATCAAACGGTCTATAAAATTTCACTTTCAAGTTTTCTCTAACACTTAGTGTTAGTCTAACTTGCAGTTTTGTTAAACTGACGAGCATCATATGGTATCCATGGTGTTTTTATTAGCATTTCCTAGATGATTAGTGAGTTTAAACAATCCTCATGTTTATTGGCTATTCAGGTTTTCTGTTCTATAAATTTGATATTCACATCTCCTACCTGTTTTTCTAGTGAGTTACTGGTCTCTGTTTTAGTTGTGTATTTAACTGATTGTAAGAATTATTTCTATCTGAGAGATACTAATCTTTTGTGAGATGTGTTTTAAGAAACTTTTAGTCTATCTCGTACCATTTTAACTCAATGATAGTTTCTTTGGTTTTACAGGTTTTTAAAATAGCCATATAGTCATGTTTACCAAAATGTTTGTCAGAACCTTAAAGGTTTTATAAAACTTTACCTAGATTTCTGGACCTGATGCTTTTTAAAAGAATTTAATATTTGAGTTTCTTTTATAGTTATGCATCTTTTAAGGATTTCTATTTCTTATTTAATCTGTTTTATTAATAAAAATTTTCTAGAGAAGTATTCATTTCATTTATTTTTTTAAATTTAAATGTATTGACAAACGATTGTTCTTAGTACTTTTCTGATGATTTTTAAATCTCCACTTTGTTCTTGAATCCACATAATATTTGTACTTTATTTTCTTTGGGGTTTTTGTCAAAGCAACAAACTTTTATTTTCGTTGATGTTCTCTATTATTATTTTTCTTACCTTTATTTTCTTCTTTTTACATTTTTATGTTTCCTTGGTTTTTCTTTTTTTGGATGTGTTTAATTGACTGCTTACCTTACTTCATTCATTAATTTTTAATGTTTTTTAAGATTTATATTCAAGTATATAGTTTTCTCCTTGAAAAAATAGCTATGGCTTTAACCCAAGATTAATATGTAGTGTTTTTCTTGTCACTTCTAAATGTTTCATAATTCCATTATGGTATCTTTGGCCTATGAATGATTTAAAAATTTGTATGCACATATTTTAGGTGCTTTTTATTTTGTAATTGCTTGGATGACTTTTTAACCAGATAGTATGAAAACATTTTGTCATGGTTTTTTGAGATTTGTTTAGCTTTGCTTTATCTTAGAATATGTCCATTCAGATTTTGGATATATTGCATGGTTTTTAAAAGAATGTATATTTTTTAATTATTGCATTTAGTGTTTAATAGTGTTTAGTTATGTCTCTTACACAAGCTTGTTAATCACATTCAGTACGTCTTTTCCTTTATAATTTTATCTGTTTAGTCACTTCTTAGAGTGCTGACTGTCTTCTGTGATTATGAGTTTGTGACCTTTTAGTCTGTCAATCTGTGCTTTATACATTATGAGGCTCTTTGCTGGTTCATTGAAGCTCAGTATTTAATCTCCCTCATGAATTAGTTGTTTGGTATGTCCTTTTGTAATGACTTCCTCTCTAATCATGATTTTTTTGTCCAAAGGTTTATTTTTTTCCTCATATTGTTACTACTCTATGAAGGGTTTTTTTTGGTTCGTAATTGCTTGGTATGTTATTCTCATCCCTTTGCTTCTATGTTCCTTTGTTGTTATATTTTAGTAGGTCTCAAATAAATACTTATTACTAGATTTTAGTTGTTTTTAAATAGATGAGTTTAAAATATGTTAATTACTGATATGGTTAGGTTTTATTTCCACTTTTTATATTGCTTTTCACTTATAATACTGTTACTGTTTACCTCTCCCTCAACTTTTATTATTTTGCTTCTTTTTTCTTCAGTCTTCTATTGAATTGATTTATAAAAATGTTCTTCATGTTTTCCTGTTTCCTCTTTTACTACTTTGGAAATAATGAATTCTCTAATTTCTATTTGTTACCTTTAATTTTTAATTTGGATACTTAATTTTTAATTTGTGTATTTTATCATATGTAAATTAATACTGCCTTTTTTTCAGGCAATGAAACTTTTCCTTTTAATTACCTTTTTCTGTTAAAGAAAAAACTAATATGTGATTGAAAGGTGGTAAGAGATAACATTTAATATAGTTACTCTCTATTTTTCCTGAGAGTGCAAATGAAAAGGAGTCTGTATGAATCTTTCGAATATAAATTTTTATACTTTTGTTTAACTATATACTTTTTATCATCTCTTAGATATTATAACATTGTATAGTAAAAATTACTTGTACATAAAATGTTTGTATATAAATAAAGCAAAAAACCTGTACTAAATAGTGTTCAATTTTAGTATATTTATAGTTTTAAATTGATCTATATTAACAAATAGCTATAATATTAGGTATCATAAATTCTAAACCTCTAAATATGTGCATATTGAACATATTACTCCAAAAGTTGCTAGTAGTAATGTCTTTAGTCAGAATAATTTTCTTTTATTGGCTCTACTTAATTAAGACCTTAATTATTATATATTGTTCACAGAGCCATAAAATAAGTGTCTCATTAATTTCTTCCTTTTTTCCTCATTTTACCAAATTACGAAATCCCCTTAGAGATTATCTGTTTAAACTTTTTTATTTACCAAATAAGGAAATTAGCCAAATTAATTAATAATCTGGACCTGGGACCTATCTCTTGTTTTCAGTTTAATGTTGTTTATTCTGAAACATGCTGTCTTTTTGATTTGCTTCTGTTGTAAAAATTTTTTTTTAATAATTCTGTTTATAATATGTACATTATGATATAGGACATACAGTACTCTTGTAATAATTTACTTGTTAAACCACATACTTAGACAGGAAAAGTGAGTTATAGTAAATTATTTATGATAATTAAATTAATTATAGTAAATTATTCTTAAACATTTGTTTTTTTTCTTCTATTCATTTTAGATGTAAACAGTGTTCTAGTTTGAGACCAATACAAAATCTAAATTCCCTGGTTGACAAAACATCATGGATTCCTTCTTCTGTGGCAGAAGGTTAGCTAAATTTTATGTCCTGCAATTTTAACTGTCTTTGTGTAAGGTAATCTCACTGATTACAATTCAGTATTTGTGGATATTGTAAAACCAGAGCAAAGGCTGAGCTAGTTTAATTTTCCTTAAGCAAAACCATTCACAGCGATTGTAATAAAAGTATGAAGTAAATATTTAGAGTATTGGGAAACTTACTTTCAAACATCTGCCAGTATCTTAATCATTACTCACATTTTAATATTCGACAATTTATTTTAGTATTAATCATTAAGCATAAATACAGCTTCTGAAAAATCTCTTTAGTTTATAGTACCTTTGGATTTAAAAGAGTTTAAAGATAGCTATTGCACCTTTTTACCCAACACAAGTCTTTAGCTGGAACAACAAGAATTTTTATATCACATTCTTGACTGTGGTCATCTAGCCTTGGCTTAAAACTCTTCCAGTGACAGGGGACTTGTTACACTGCAAGGTAACGTAACCCCTTAGTTTTTAGGCAGTTCTTAAAGGCAAAATATTCCTACCTATAGTTTTAACATAGGCCGTATTTTATCTACTAAAATTAGAGGAGTGGTCCCCATCCTTTTTGGCACCAGGAACCAGTGCTCCTATGAGAATCTAATGCCTGATGGTATGAGGTGGAGCCGAGGTGGTAATGCTGGTGCTGGGGATCAGCTGCAAATACAGATGAAGCATCGCTGGCTGGCCCGCTGCTCACCTTGTGCAGTGTGACCTGGTTCCTGACAGGCCACGGACCAGTACCAGCCCATGGCCCAGGGGTTGGGGACACTGGAATTAGAGTATATCTGTTCCCTCTTCTATAAGATTAACAGGCTTTGTATACTTGACGATATCTGTCAAGTCTTCTTTGAGTCTATTTCTCTAAGCAAGTATCTCTTGTCCTTTGGTACTATAAAAGAGTTTAAAGATGCTATTGCACCTTCTCAGTAAACATTCCACTTTACCAATTCTCTTCTCAAAGTTTGGCATTCAAAGTTGGAAATAGGGCTGCAGATGTTGGCCAATTCAGAATATGAAGAAAACCTTTATTTCCCTAAAATTGGACCCTCTGTTTCTATTAGCCTGAAATTTTCATTGTACAGCGAGTCCTTGAATAACATTGTTTCATTCAACATCATTTCATTGTAACATTGATGAGATGCCTTAGGAACTTAACTCTTATTTATATTAATTAGTCTATGGTAAAATTGGTTTTGTTGTATGTCGTTTCACCCCCATTCCAAGAACCTATCAGCAACGTTAACTAAGGACTTACTATGTAGATATTTATTTCTGTACTTGATTTTGTTTTCCTTCTCTTGTAACCCAGCTATATGATACTGCTACCTCATATTTTGTTTGTGGCCCAGTGAAATTCCAAGTTACTTTCACATGAGCTTCTTGCTGTGCAACTTGATCTGCCCATCCTATTCTTAATCCATTTCTCTGTTAGTTTGTTCGATCCCTCAGAGTAAAGTTTATGTTCATACTTCTTGGTTTTAGCTCAGTTTTAACCTACTGAAACCTCTTGAATCCTAAAAATCAGTTCCTCTGTATTAATAATTTCTATCATGTCTGTATGCCCTAATTTATTCTTCTTACTTGCCCCCTTAATTAGTTCTATTTAAATAATAAGTCCACAAATAGAAGACATATTCCATTCTATAAACATATTGAATGTCTTCTATTTACAAACGTTTAAATTTGTCCATTTTAACCTATAAATTTTCATATGATTTAGTGTCTCATTAATTTCTTCCTTTTTCCTCATTTTACCAAATTATGAAATCCCAGATTCTGAATTTTTTTTATCCATTTAACCAGATGATAGCTCTTAAAAAATGCGATCCCTGTGCTTATAATACAAAGGGAAGCAACATGTTACATAGTCATAAATATTGAACTGTATACTATTTTTTAGAACATTCTGGTATATTAATTTTGTCTTTCATAAAGCTAATATACAATGAATTGCATTTCATGAATTAGTTTTTATGTTTCTATCAAAATCAACTAATTTTAAAGATCTATTAATATTTAATCAAAAAAGATAATGTTGTTCATAGGTCATTGCTTCTATCTAGGGTAGTATAGTGTTCCAAAATGTACCTGCTAAAAGGAGCTTAATATATTGGTATTAAAGAACAAAAAGCCTAAGTTTTTTTTTTCTTGAATTATTTTAGTAAACAAAATTAAGAGCTACATATTATCCAAAACCAATTTTTACTTTGATTATAAGGAATATAAGATTCATATGGTTTGATCTTTTCTTCCTTCACTAGTCCTGGGTATTGTACCCCTTCAGCATGTGTTTGTGATGACATTTACTCTTGACGATGGAACAGGAGTATTGGAAGCTTACCTCATGGATTCTGTAAGTAACAGAGATAGTGAAGATATTTCTGACTAAAAATAATATTTTTTGAATTTTAATGTATTTATTCATGTCTTATTACTGAGATTTAAGGTAACTTAGAATAAATCTTAAATCATTTAAGTAATTCTCTTTTGATTTGGCACTGTAAATCTTAATATATGAATAATAAAAAATTGGAAGAGAGAGTCATTCTCTATATCATGCAGAAGTTCTGTTCCAGGACCAAAAGGCAGAAGTGTGATCACGCCCTGTAGACATTAACTGTCAGCATTTCACTAGGCCTCCAATTTTGTACTAGAGGGAACAAAATTACTTTGATAGGGAGTTACATTGGGTGACTCTAGGAAGCTGTCCACAAGATCATCCTCATTTCTGACATCAGTTCCAAGTTTGAGGGTTCCCAAGACCACCCTTAGTTTTGATCATTTACTAGAAAGAGTCACAGAATTTACTGAAGGCTGTTATACTCATCGTTACAGTTTTTTACAGGTAAAGGATACAGATAAAAATCATCCAAGGGAAGAGATGTATAGTCCAAGAAACTTTTAAACATGAAACTTTCATTTGTCCTCTTTCTGTGGAGTAGAAGACAGTGTTACTTTCCTGGCAATGAGGCGTAACAGTACACTTGGAGTATTGCCAACCAGGGAAGCTCTACTGAACCTAGTGTCCAGAGTTTTTACTAGAGCTCCATCACGTAGTCATGATTGATGATTCATGTGACTGATCTCAGTCTTCAGCCCCTCCAGAGGTCACATGATGCAAATTCCTCACCTTAAATTGCATTGTTAGACTATCCAGTGTAACCCAATGTCCTTAGGCAAAGAAAACATATGGATACTCCTATCAGGCACAATATTCCGAGGGCTTAGAGATTACCTCCCAGAAGCCAAGGGGAAAGCCTATAAGTTTAAACTTTTTACTATACACATTGGGAAATAATCTGGGGTAAAGTTGAGAGGAGAATTTTTCTCCTGCCTAAACAATTTATTTATCCATTTATTAAATGAATATTTAGTGAGCTCCTTCTATGTGTCAGGTATTGTTCTTTGTGATAGGACTATAGCAGTGAGCAAAGCAAGAAAAATCCCTTCTCGTAGCTTGTAATGTAGTAGGGAAGGAAAAGCAAATAAATATATATTATACTCTATATTAATATGTTATAGTCTTAACACACATTGCAGGCACTCAGTATATGTTATTAAGGTAATAATAAGCCTCTGTTTTCTGATCATCATTATTTTTATCATTAAGTCAAAGCAATTTAACTTGATTTTATATATTTCTCAAAACTGTTTTAGATTAGTAGTAAATCAGATTTTAGAGTCAGACTAGCACTCTAGATTATGAATTCTATAATCTTGATAGATTGACATAGTCTAGATTATCTTAGATAGTATCATAATAACTTTTATTTTAATTTTAACTTTAATAAAAGATTAATACAATTTTTTTTCTTTTATAATTTTTTTTAAGGACAAATTCTTCAATATTCCAGCATCAGAAATCCTAACCAATGATGACCTTCAGCAAAGTATGGATATGATCATGGATATGTTTTGCCCTCCAAGAATAAAAATCGGTAGGCAATATTTTAGCAACCCCATTCATTCTTTTTCTTAAAATAACACCTATCATACATCTGACCTATGGACTTTTAGAGGTATGAAAACTTTGAAATGTGAATTCAAGTACATTACTACGTAGTGATTGATTACTCTATGGTCTACCTTTTGGTGGAACAGTGGCAGGGATAAAATGGATATGAATCATCATTCCTGAAATGAAAAGATTTTAAAAATATTTTAAAATATAGTAAAGGGGAGGCAATTTTGATCACAAGTACATTCGATACTATGTTTATACATATAAACATTTTAGAAGAAATTATATTAATGGGTAAAATTTTGACAGGAAACATTTTCTATAACAAACTTCATTTAGCCACCTTAATTCATTAATGAATTTTCTATTCAGTATTAACTAGTTTCAGATTTTATAAGTTTTTATTGAAGTTTTTATTTTACTAATTAGTTTTATCAGCTTTGGTTGTTTTCTATATAACATTTGATTCATCAACCCAATCAGTTCAAAGTGTATTGATTACACCTACTGCCACTGAGTTTTCTTTTTGTGGCCATTATTTCTGTTTATGTTGAAACTTGCAGATCTAAATCACATTAAGACAATTTTACTCTTCTAACAGTTTTTCATCAGTAACAGATTTTGCCGCTGCAGATTTAACTGTTGTCAGTTTAACTTTTATAGGTTATTTTTAATCGGACTTTTTTCCCTCAGGCAATTTTTGCATTTTAAAAAATTCCAAAAAGATAGTTTTTCTTCATCTGTAACAAAGTTTAACTTATATACCTTTACTTGATGCCAGTTTTAATTTTTATTGGCTTTTCGGATTCTTTTGGATAGATTCATGAAAATAAAACTGCCACATCAAAAAGCACAGACATGGTAGACTTTTGATACATACTGCAAAATTGCTTTTTAAGAATATATTACCTGTTTATAGTTCTACCAGCAGTGTAGGAGAACACCTGTCTTGCTTGACCCTGGCCAATACTGAGGACTATGTTAAATGTCTTTCAAACTCAGATTTGAAGAAACATTAAGAAAATGGCATCTGTGGCCACTAACTTTGCCTTAACAAAGTATGCAGTACCTGATGGTAGTTTCAGCTTGACAAATGTAAGGGCTTTAGCTGATTCAAAATTCAGGATTAGTTTCTTTGTTTTCTACCTTCACTATCAAACCTTTTGAAAACCCCACATTTAATTATGTTTTCCTGTTGTTAGGAAAAAACTCAAATTAGTCAGAATTGCTCCAAAACAATAACATGAATCCCATATGTAATTTGGAAGGTAGATAATGTTAAATTCGGTAAGTGTATTTATTTACTTTTCAAGCTAAATTATATGCAATTTTCTAGCTAAGCATTATACTTAGATACATATTTCAGAATTATTTGTTTAGGTTTAATTATTAAGTAACATTTTCTTTTGGGTTTGTAGATGCATATCCGTGGTTGGAATGCTTCATCAAGTCGTATAATGTCACAAGTGGAGCAGAGCAGCAAATTTGCTATCAGATTTTTGACACCGTTGTTGCAGATGATCTTTTCTAATATTGACATTCAACCTTGCATATGTAAAACATTACTATTTTCTATGAGATTGCTATAAAACATGGAACGATTTAGCTCAATAGTTTATTTTCCATTTTAACCACTATTTTAATTTTTTTTTTTTTTTCACAAATAGACATTGTGTTATCTTAATGCCTTGTGAGTAAGTTAAGAATGTTTCTGTTGCTCAAAGTATCCAGTATTATAGCTACTAGGGATATAAAAGAAAGAGAGACATTGAATAAATAAGGACTGTGTTTTCATCTACCCTTGTGG